TCCGGAAGGCGAAGTAAGTGCAAACAGACCCGGCTGAGACGCGGCTCTCTCGAGTACCTTTGCCCGCCCGAGAAGCAGCGCCTCCGCTATTACACGGCGGAGGTAGACGACACTCCGGGAGAGATAATCTTCTCTCAGGACTCGGCTCCGTGTGGGCGTTATGCCTGGGCGGGTTTTTCGGATGTACCTTCCTGTGGAATTTACGAACGGGCTAAAAGATATACTGGGAATATATGCACACATCAGCTACACGGCTTATTCATATAACATAATATATATATATATATATATATATATATATATATATATATATATATATATATACATATATACATATATACATATATATATATATACATATATATATATAATATATATATATATATATATATAATATATATATATATATATATATTATATATATACACACACATATGTATATATACATACATATACATACATACATACATATATATAAATATATATATATATATATATAAATACACATATATATATATATGCATACACTATTATATATACATATAATACATATAACTATATATATATATATTATATATATATATATATATATATATATATATATATATAATATATTATATAATATATTATTACATCACATATGCATATATGCATTTTATGCATTTTCTGTGTATATAATCCATCATGTCACAAGGAGAGGAAGAGGTAGACTGTCATTGCAGTAAATCGTTTCTTTCCTTCTCATTTCCTTCACAGACTAATTCGACCAACGATAACGTAGGGAAAGCGCCCACAAATAGGCCTAATACCGGAAGATAATTACACGAATAAGCCTATAAGCCTGTCTAGGAAGAACGGCTGTATTTGTTGGGGGGAGTTAGTCATTTGTGATCTCATTAGTTGCGTTAGTAGACACCTTCGTGGGAGAGGCCTAAACAACTTTTATTTCACGCTGGAGTAAACAATGGAGTGGCAGGTGAAGTGCACTCGGGGGACGGATCCTCGCCGGCTCCTTCTGGCTGAGATTTTTTCGCCGCCAGCGAGTGGAGATCTCCTCCCGCCTGGGATCATTACCGCTGCTCTTCTCTCTCGTAGTCACGTGCTGTGCACCTACAGGCTCACGAGACGCCGTGCTCACAGCCCTTACCCAGAGGAACCTCTTTCGGGAAAGGAGCAGCGGTCGTTGGAGCAATCGCGAACAATCAGAATAATCAATCGAGGAGTTAAAGTGTCTATTTACGGAGCAACAACAACAACTCGTGTAGATTCATGCTCAAGTGGAGGCTACGTCACCACTCGCCGAGAGGGAGCACAATGTAGAGAAAATAAGCTCCTCCCTCACTGCACCCTCTCCTGGCCTGAGTCATCAAGAGTTCCAGGGCAAACACAGCCTCGTAGCCCTTTGTCTGGGGGCTGAAGGTAGCCAGGGCTTATGTGTTCTTGTATAAGGGCTTCTTGAGCTCTGTGTAGGATGAGGCGCTGGCTGGTACGGGGCAAGGAAGATGCCGAGAAGAGGCGAGGTAAGGAAAAGGGAGATGAGGATATCCGAGATGCGACAGGAGGGAGCGATGAAGTGTTTTTGAGGCAAATGGGTAATTCAAAGTCTAGTTAAGGAGGTCGATGAGAATGGCGGAATGCTTGATGAAGAGGAAGAGGTATACGAGTTGAAGACGAGAGGTGAAGGAAGCAGTCAGATCTAGTGAGCCAGTGAGGAAGTGAGGAAGCACTCAGATCTAGAATCAGTGAGGTATTGTGGGTATTAGGAAGTCCGTAATGAGGAACGTTCCTGATGAACTCTAAGGAAAGAAGCGAAGGGAAGGCGACCTCTGATCCGAAAATCTCCATTATAAGAGATGGGTTGTAGTGTGTACGAACCGGTTGCGGGCGAGCTCCCTAATTAACAAAATTCCCATTCATTTTTATTACTTGTATATTATAGAAGGGTGCTTAGAACAATGGAATGCCTTTGTTAACTCTCATCCTGATATCACGATTTTTCGTTGGCCTTTTCAAAGTTTGTATGGGAGCGTGGTCACTGTTACCATCATTAATATTAACGATCATATCATATGTTATTGATATGCTGTTCTTGTTGCTCACAGTTATCAGAAATAACATGGTCATTATTTTTCTTAATTGTTCATATTAGTCTTATTATTATTATTAGTGTTATATTAATGCTTATAGATATGATAACATTCATTTTATCATTATCATTATTATTATTATCATTATTTTCGTTATTATCATGATAGTTACTATCATTATCAGTTGCACTATTGTCATTATTTTTTTCTTACTGTCATTATTATTTTTATATTATCATCATCACGTCACCAGAGTACTTGGGAAAGAAGGTTATTTTTTAATGCAATTCTAAGTGTGAATATTTTTTATCCACACACCGACCTATTGCACCACCGACGCTATTGCCTTGGCGGAGGAATGCGCTCTCTGAATGCTTCTAATTGACGATGAAAAATAGTGCTATTGTCATGAT